TTAGTGGTGTGACAAAAGGTGATGATAGACCTTGCTAATTTATTGTGGTAGATGTCTATTACTTCTGTGGTGAAAGAGTATAAGCAGCCTGAGCTGCTTGCACTCTCCTGCCACCCAGAGCAGGTGGTTTGGGGCCTTGAGAGCTCCTCAAGCCTGGGAGCACCTGCCTGCTTTCCTCGCTTACAGAGAGATATCCTGAGAAATCTTGGGGTGCCTCTCCATAAGCAAGGAAGTCAGATTGTTACAGACTGGGTCTGGCTGAACAGGGAAAGCAGGGACATCACACAGTTCCTTGTCCTGTGCCTTCAAGGGTAGGACAAGGGGTGATGTGCTTGGCATGATGAAATGGATCAGCTGTGCTGTGACACTGTCGCACAGCTGATCAGGTTCATTCAGAGACATCTGTTTCTAGCCAGTGTCTGTCCAGGCAGTCATCGTGGGACTGGGGCCTGAACTATTACTGCTTGAGAACATAGCAGTGTAGCAAACTTTATTCACTACTTTAAAGTGAATGGTTTGACATATGGTCACAGTTTTGTTATTTAAGGAAAAATACGGCCTAATTGCTACTGCTCTGTGTAGCTGGTACATGCATTAAACAATGCTGTTATTTTTTCTTCTATTTGCTTGTCAGGGACTTAGTGCCAATTAAATGCTTTAGGGTGGACTGTCCTGTAGACAGTGTTTTTATTTCATTAAATTAAAAGCAGCAGTAGCATAAACTTTCTTGTTTTTTGTCAATGGACCTCAATTTCATTTCAGAAAAGACTCAGGGGTAAAATGTTCAGAAAAAATGATGGTCTCTGCACTGCTCTAAAAACTTCTTTTCCTATTCAACATTTTCCAAATGCAAAAATGTGATGGTCCCTTGGGTACTCCCCAGCTGCTGCTACCAAAATCTCTGTGCTTGAGAGCAACAAAAGGAATGCCACCCAAATGCCCTCACTGTCACACACTTCATTTTTTTGTTAACTAAGTAACTTTCCTGCTTCTGGTAGAATTTTTCTCTTGCCATTTTTAAGTGGGTCTTAGGGTCCCCCATTTATCCTTTGCATGAAATACAATGTGTCCTAGACTGCTTTAGGAGATATTCATAATCTTGGCATCTTCCTTTGGCTGTCTATATGCCACTATTGGCCTTACTAAATTCAGAGGAATACATGCTGCAAAATGTTTTCTTCCCATCCAATTTCTTAATCTGAATGTAAACAAGCAGGTAAGCCTGTGAGTAGATCAGGGAGGAGAAGAGTTCAATCATACCATTTGCCATAGGAACATAAGTGCTAAGGAACATACTGGCCAGAGTTGATATCATATAAATCTCTGATCCTTATTTCCTACCGAAAGGCTATACAAGTCATACAATTCCATCCATGCACTTCATTTTCACGAAATTCCACTTCCTTTATAAAACTTCATAGGCTGATGCACAGCGACTATTTCTACCCATGCCACTTTTGTTCCAAGCAAAATGGAATTCAGGAGCTTTCCTCAGCTTTAGTATGGTCTCAAAGACTCATTAAATTTAACTTTAGCAGATCTTAAAGAAATGTGTACAATGAAATCCAGCTGCTGTTGGGAGCATGGATCATGATTTTTAAAATTTGTTTAGTTTTTCAACCTAGCAAATGTATGTCTTGTGTGAACCATACAAAGTCAAAAGACGTAATGCAGCTGCTACAAAAAAGGTGGATAACATTAATAGTGCCATTTGTAAGACATACTACACTATTTTGCTTTATTCTATACCAGTGAGAGTTCAGCTGGAGAACTTTATCCAGTTCTGGGCACCACTCTTTCAAGAAGGTGTAGGCAAGCTGGAGGGAATCCAGAACAGAGCAATTTAAATGGTAAGTTATTTAGAAAGCAATAAAGTATCATGAAAGGTGGAAAGAGAGATTTTTTGGTTAGTTTAGAAACGTTAAGACTTGAGACCTTATAACTGTCTTGACAAAATGACTGGAGATGTTTCCTCTGGCATCTCTAAACCAATAATGGTGTATGCCAAGGACAGTAATAAATAGGGGAGAAATCACCCTAGATATACCTAGTTCAATGCTCTCCCTCTAAAGCATTCACACCTGCCACTGTTGGAGAGAAGATAGTGGGCCAAATGGACCACTGGTCAGGCCCAGTATGGTGCTTATGTTCTTATAAATATCTAAAAAAAATGTTATAAAGAAGACATTGGCCACTTCTTCTCCAAGTCCATCAGGAATATAAAAGGAAATAAGCAATGTAATTTGCAGTAGATTAAATTTAATGTAGCAATGATCAAAACATTTCACACTGCATGGACACAGAAGCATTACAACAATATTTCTGGATAGGCTACAAAATCCCTGCCACTACTGCACTTTTAAAGAAAAAGGTTAAACATTCATCAGGGATGCTCTTGGTTTATAGGGTCTAGCCTCAGAGCAGGAAGATGGATTACATGACCTTCCGGGCTCTTCCAGTTTTACATTTCTACGATTCTGTAAAATCATAGAATCTTGCCTTTCTATGATTCAATAGCATTTAATAATCTTATACAATTGGCCTAAATTCTGAGCATTACAATCACTATTCTCATATTGAATCTTCTTTGTAGTATCTGTTTCTCAAGGACAACTGTACAGAATCCATTCATTCTTATGTGCTGTTAAGCTTTATTTGGTGTATACTTCTAATGAGAGAGCTTATCAAGCAGCAGTCAGAAACACTAGGAAGATGAAGAGTGCCATCTTTATGATAGGCAAGTTATGATTATAATATGAAAAAATATCTAAAGAAAACAGTTACCATATATAATTCACTTTTCACCTGTTAAGATCCTCTGGCATTTCACTCGTGAAGGTTAAAGTTTGGAAAATATCACACTAGCTGATTGCGCCTGCTATTGATCATAAGCAGAGGAAAGCTTGAAATGCATGCATTAAAATTTTTGCTGATCCTTTCCAATCTAATCAGGTTTGTGCAGTGAAAAAGCAGAGTGCATTTACCAAGCATCAGTGTAAATTAAATAAGACAATGACATTGGATATTAAATGTCATTTCTTCTGGTTAATAAAGTGCTTTTACAACAACGTTAACATGGATGACAGAACCCAATTCCTGTTTAACAACTAGATACACAAAACTAAACTTGTTAGTCTGACAAAATCATTAAAAAATAAGGACATTTTTCAAATTGAATGAATCAAAACTATATTACAAAGGCAGCACAGTCCAGTGGAGAGGGTACTAGACTAGCCACCAAGAAACTAGGGTTAAAACTCAGGGGTAGGCAAAGTTTTTTGGCCAGAGTGCTAAAAAAGCCACAACGTCTACCTTGGAAGGTGCCGGAGTGCCAGCATGCCATAAAAACAAAATGGCGGTGGGGGGCGTACATGGCAGGACACACTGCATATATATTTAATAATCATAAATGTTGCCTTTGTTGTTGTGTATTCCTTTTTCGTTGAGCATGTTGCAATGAGACAGAGAGAAAAAAAAGAGACAAATAAGAGAAAGGAGAGACAGAAAGAAAAAGGAGAGCAGAGAGAGAACCAGACACACACACATGCACACAGAAAACCATGTGCACAAACATAGAGAACCAGAACACACCCAGAACGGACACATGCACACACACATCCAGAGCCAGACACGTGTGTGCACACAGACGTACAAAACCAGACAAACACAGAACCAGATGCGCGGGCACACAGAGCCGGTCTCCTGGGCCATTGGACAAAGTCTGACCCAGCAATACCCTGGTCCCGCCAGAGCCCCCGTGCTTCCCTGGGGAGCCAGCTCCTGGGCTGCAGTGCAGCTGGCCAAGACCCCAGCCTGGAGCCTGCCCATCAGCCCAACCAACCACCCACCCCGCACAGCCAAGCCCAGAAAATGTGCAGTGCTCCTGGCAAGGGGCAGCAGCAACCTCATCCTGGTGGGGGACTGGGCTGGGGCTGGGCTTGGAGCAGGTGGGAGTCAGGCGGGCTCAGCTGTAAGCCCTGCAAGCAGCCTGGGCTCTGTGGTTGGCAGCAGCTACCATAGCCTGGGCCAGCTGCAGCCAAGTGGCTGCAAACAGCTGCTTTGGGCTCCGGTATCAGCTCCGCACCGGCGGCTGCAACCGGCCCAGGCTCTGGGTAGCTGCTGCTAACCATGGAGCCTGGTTTGCTTGCAGCAGGGCTTGCAGCAGGGCTTGCAGCTGCCCAGCCACTGGCTGGAAGCAGCCCGGGCTTTGTGGCTGGCAGCAGCTGCCTAGAGCCCAGGGTGGCAGTGGCGTGCCAAGCAAAATGGCTTCACGTTCCATGCTCAGCCCATGTACCGGGGGGGCGACCCCTGCTGTACTCTGACAGTGCTGATGTGTAGCCTTGAGAAACTCCCCACACATCTGTGTACCTCTGCTTTCCCTTGACTTCATTAGGAAAGTCTAGTAATCTTGCACTGCAGTAATGCCTACATTACTCCAGTCAAAACTGGAGCTCTATTTTCTTAAGTACTGTAAAAAAGAGATAGTAATATATAGTCTCTGTTCTGAGGATCTTGCCATGTAAAAAAAATAAGCAAAAGATAAGAGAAAGGAGGAATTACTGATCACTTTATATAGATGGAGGAACTGAGGTATCAATAGATAATAAAATTGCCCAAAGCCACTCAGACTGAGAACTGGACCCAGTTCATTTGAGAGCCAGGGCCAATGCCTTATGCACAAGACTACCTCTTCTTTGCTAGAAGATGCTAGGTGACACCTAATTTGTATATATAGAAAGATTTTCAGTAACTGCAGAGCTATAACTTCCTATTTCTATCTTCCCTGATGTACAACTTGGAATTGGCTGTAGTGTGCTCAGCAGTAAGTAGCGAGCTAATCAGTTCACTGCTCAGCTTTTATGAGGCTCTGTAGGGCACAGTGGTTCATGTGGCACACTTTAAGAAGTTCAAGGTCATATTTCTACCTCAAACTTCTCTCTTTTGCATCACTGTTTTACAGCAGTAATTAAGAAAGGCAAAACCCCAACCTTCAAACTCACCCTTGTTGTATAAGCAGCTTCTGGGTCATCTTCCAATACACGTGAGAGGCCAAAATCAGAGACTTTGCACACCAGGTTGCTATTGATGAGGATGTTACGAGCAGCTAGGTCACGATGGACATAACCCATATCTGACAAGTATTTCATGCCGGATGCTATCCCCCGGAGCATGCCCACCAGTTGGATGACTGTGAACTGAGCATCATGTTTCTGTAACACATTTGAAAGGCATGATTAAGAGACTGACTGTACTAGTCCCTCCTCTTCCTCCACATGCACATAATTTCTACTAAAATCACTGAAACCCAGGATAAACATCATTATATGAACATCTTCTAATTAAAGGAAAACAATCTCTAAATCATTTGGAAGCCCATCCGGGAGAGGCTGTCTTTTGGGGAACAAAAACTGCTTTACTGTTTACACTCTTAACAGAAATTCTGTCACACAAGAGGAAGGCAAATTTAAATTTCAGTTGAAACCAAACTATACAGGTCCATCAAGGCTGGGATTTTCAAGGTATCCAGTGACAGTTAATGCTTAACTTCCAAGTGAATCCAATTTCAGTGAGATTTAGGCACCTATGAAAATCCTAGTGGATTCATTAAGGGTGCAGGCAGACTTAAAACTTAAATGTTTCCAAGTGATAAAGGGAATGTTTGAGCCAGGGGACACACATAAAGCCCTCTGTGTCATTCCTGGCTGGAATCTTTCCAAATTTTATGGCCTCTGCTAGTGCCAGCCTTGGGGCACTTGAAAAGGCTACATCAACTTCTGGCTTCACTTTTTTGGTTCCCCGCTTCTTCTTCTTCCTTCACAGGGATGGGAGAAAGAAGGGAGGGGAAAGTGGAGAGCCCTGGAGTGGAGAGGTAAGCATGGGGTGGGAGTGGTAGGTGCTCTGAATCTACAGATAACAACAACAAAGTTTGCTCAATCATCAGTTAGCACACTAAAGCCCTGTTTCTGCAATAACATTGAGACTAACATATAGTCTTAGCCGGTGGCTCATGCAGAGGCTAAGACTATAAATCAAGAGTGTGAACCAGCATAGGAGTGAAACCTCAATCTGATCATAAGAATAAGTTTTGTTTTTGGCCACTGATTTTATGGACCAACCTTATCCATGTAAATATAATAGGAACATACAGTATAACCTGCTGATGTTCATATGACAATTAAGAGCTTCTGTATTTCCTTTCATGAAAAAACCCCTCTTTATTGTAAAGGATGCACATCATTTGCAGATTATGAAATGCACTTAAACTTTGCCTGGTTTGCCCAGGAACAAAACAGGCCTGAACTGCTCATAGCATATTTAGGCTAGAATTGAGAAGAAGGTTCTACCACTTGGAAGGATGATGTCCTAGAACTGCCTTCCAAGAGGAGCCAACAAGGTAGCCAAATTTAAGATGGAGTATGAATGCAATTGTCTGGGCTGGCTGCCTGAGATAGCTGGATGCTAGACTCAGTGACCCATGTGGATCAGTCCTATGCTCCACAGAGCTGATAAATTAAAACTACAAATTTAAATGAATTCATTAGTACATTTAAATCAATACTTTTGAAAGCAGAGTCTGCTAATTAACTGGCTAAATTACATCATGCATTAAAGAAAGGCAGGATGGAATGTTAATAGGTCAGGTCCAGGCATTGATTAGAATGTGACAGGCATGGGATAAGGACACAGTGATAGGAGCCTGTCCTGAAAAGGTCACATTATCAATCACAGTCAGTGCATGCATATAAACATGCCAAGAATGGAAAGGAGGATAAAGGTTCTTGGTTCAGGCTTGAATTTTTTTTAGGTGTACAGGTATTTTGCGATGAAAGTTTTACAGGACTGGGATCTCTTTTGTCAGCTGAATTAAGGGAAGTAGTTTCTAGGAGCGATCTGAAAGAGACAAGAGTGGACTCTTCCTTCAGTAGGCTCTATAAAGTCATCCTAGGGATGGGCACAGACAGAAGTGGCAATTTTCACCAGATCTGGCTATGCAACCAGTCTATAGCCAGGACCACACACATGTGCATGGCTGCAGACAGCTTCAAAAATGGTTGATTGGGTGAAAATCTGACCCATCATTCATGAAGGGTCAGATGAAGATGTTTCAAAACAGAGCATCTTCTGTAACTTGCGTCGGTGTTGCCTCTCAGCCTTGAGCTCTTTTCAGAATGGGAAGAGGGAAAGGGAGCAGAAAGAGTTTGATTTGGGGTTTTTTCAGCCCCCTCTGGAGGGTGGGGTGGGTGTGCAGCAGGCTAGTAGGGGGTGCTCCTGCACTGAGACACCCGCCTCACTGCACCCCACCAAAAACCAGGCTTTGGATGACTCCCCAACTTCTGGTCAATGCCCTTCCTGGAACACACCTGCAAGCCTAGGGTATGGGTGCCACCACCTGGACTCAGGCCTTTATCTGGGCCCTGTGCCACTCGGGATACACAGGCCCTGTAGATCCACTCCTTGGGATCGTGGAGTGCATCTATTAGCCTGAAATATAGAAAGTAGCCTCCCTTAGTCAGCTGAGCAAAGGGATCAAAAAGGCTTGCCCAATCCCTCTCCCAGCAAGCACCACTGAGCTTGTTATAGTGGACAACTTTATTGGTAGGCTTGGGGAAGGGTACAGGTCAATAAGTGTCAAAGAATAACCCAGGGCAAACAGTACGGCTTGGTAGCCTTTTGTTATGCTATATTTCTAGGTAAGTTTCAGGTAAATTATTCAAGTGTCATCCAGAGGCTGATTGAGCTTCCTCTGAAGGCAGGCAGTGCATTATGTGTTCTTGAGATTCAGGGTGCCTCTTCCCTCCCTCCCACAAGATGGAGGGACCCTTAAATAACCTTTCTGACCTTACCTTCAAGACCCAATCAAAGGCAGGTGTTGTTTGATGCTGACCAACCAATTAAAAAAAACCATTACAGTTACCTAAGGGTGTGACATGGCACAAGCCCCTGCCCCCAGGTCACAAGGTTAAAGCTCAGAACAATAGAGAGCTAGATTCACCCCCCTCTTACCTGGGCTAAGGCACAGTAGGCAGCAATTTGGTTGCCAAGCATCCGGTTGACAGACAATTGGGCAGAGAAAGAGAAGGGGAACAGGCAACCCACAGTGAGGAGGAAGGAGGCTGGAATGGGATTCTTTCGCAGCCTGTATTGGAGCCCACTGAGACAGGGGCCCCAATTCACCCACCCTACCCTTCAGTGCTGGTTGGAGAACCCTTAGAATGAGCTCCCTCTGCTCCCTTCCCCTCCCTGCCATTCTGAAACAGGGATAGGCTGGGAGGGAGGGGATACTGTTGCCACGGAAACTAGCTGCCAGCTACAGACAGCAGCTAGGATTTCCCTCCCCCCTAGAAGTAACAGTGAACGTCTGTTTGGCTCGGGGGATTGTTGTAACTCAGAGCTCTTCCTGCAAAGTGTTCTCAGTTACAGCAGAGGGCTGCACTTCTTTCTGCACCCAAAGAGGAGCATGGCACTGAGATGTCTGTGAGAGAAAACGATGCAAAATTTATCAAGCAGGTATTGTTGGTGAAACAACCAGCCTGAACAAGCATATGAAGTGAGAGTAGCCTGAAGATATAGCCTGAGTCTGAGGCTGTGTAATGGAGGGTCTTGGAAGCTAAGACAAGAAGTCTGAATTTCATGGGCAGAACATAGGGACTTCACTAAAGTGGCAGGATACAGTGCATGTACAGTGGTCATCAGTACAAATCTGCATTAGAAAAAATCTGAGAGGCAAAGATTTCTTCAGGTGATGTCTTTTATTGGACTAACTCATGGTTGCGCTAGAGTAAAACAAGCTTTTAAATGCAAAATATTCTTCAGGTCTGAGGAGAAAAGCCAATACAGCTGTGTTCATTATTGCTGTACTGGTTTTTGTCCTCAGACCTGAAGAAGAGTGTCTCTCATTCAAAAGTTTGTCTAACTCTAGCCCAGCTGTGCAGTTGGTCCAATAAAAGGTATCATCCAAAGAAATCCTTGTGTAACAGGGAACCCTAGCCCAGTTACTGGAAAGCAGGGCAACCCTTTTAAGACCAGAACCTCCTGGGCACAGCCTGCCAGCACAGCAGGGATTAAAAGCTGAGCCTGGCTGGCTGGTCAGCTGATGGGGCATCAGGTGCCTGAAAGAGGGCTCAGGCCAGAACTACATAAGTGGTGCCTGAGCTGGCCAGGGGGACCCAAGCTGCAGAGAGGATGGACTCCTGATAACTCAGAGAGGAGCTGCATCAGCCCCACAAGAGACAGAGAGCACTGGCAGTGGGATGCAGAGAGACAGAGACCTTGGAAACATAAAGAGGCAGATTGATTTCTTTACCTTTATCTTTTGGTATAGCCGAAGGGCTTATTGTTTATGTTCTGTTTTAAACCAGTGGTTTGTGGCTGAGGCTGTAGGGGGTGGGGTGGAGGCCTCATTACTGTCCATGGGGCACAGCTGGAGGGCTTGAAAGCCCATACTATAGCAGGCACAAGCATGGAGGGATGCGCTAGTGCTCCTATGTCAGGTCCTACCTAGTGGGCCTAGGCTGGGAGGCCTAGTTATAGAATAAGGGGCAAAGCCAGGGAAGGCTGAGGCCCCAACAACTCAGCACCACAGGGATGCAGTGTTAAAGAGACCGGGGAGCCCAGTGCCATGGTACAAAGGACCAGGAGCCCAGAGTGGTTTGTGGAGCTAGGGCCTTGAAGTCAAGTCCTAGAACTTGACCTCAGCTGGTAGGCCTAGCCAGAGAAAAGGGGGCAGAAGCTCAGGAGGCTGAAGCCCCCCAAAAGGGACATTATTCAGGCAGCTCCTGTGAGGCATGGTGCACGTTAAGGGAAGGTAGGAGCGCATAAAGAGCCCTTAAGGCTGAAGTTCGTCACTGCAAGGTGTTCATGAGCATAGACCCAACTCTGGGAAACCCTGGGGTAGCCTCCTCTTTGGAACCCAAAGCAACATCAAGATGCGGCAGAAGAGTGAAGGGGAGTCTATTCCCAGCAGAAAGGGCAAATGTAAAGAGACTCAGGAGTGCCCACACGTGCCTCTAAAGGTCACTAAGGATGGCACTTTATTACACCTTGCCTCTCACATACTTTGTGGACCATGATGGCTATAACATCAATCTAGCAAAAAATGTGAGGTCATAAATACCACTGTGGGGCATCCAGAATTGGTTGGATGGTATCTTTTATATGCAAATATCAGCTGAAGATGTACCTGGGTAGAAAAGGTAGCTATGGGCTAACCCCTTTACCAGACCCTGGGATTTCGTAAAATATTAGAAAAATAATCCAAGACCAGCTTAGAATTTCTCAAGGGATTAGGGTATAGACAGAAGTAACAGTCATATCAATATTAAAGAATCCTATTATAAACTGTTACAATGCAGCTATTGCCTCTGTTTGATTTTTGCAAGGATGTAAGTGTAGCAAAAGCAGTACCAGAAGTGCTAATCTGGTTTCCTTCTGGATCATAGTTAGGGCAATTTATCTCTACAGAATCCCAGAGATGTAACAGATAGATTGTAACAGTTTGTGCGCACTTGCAATGGGCATCTTCCCCTTTTGTTTAAAAATAGCTAAAAATATGTTTGTCCATGCCCTTAGCTGAGCACATAGTTGCACAACAACTGTCCTTACTTCTCTCCAACCTGAACTTTTCCACGTTATGAATATATATTATTAAATGGTCTTCAAACACATGATTATATGCTATGATTTCTCACAAAGCTCTGCCCCTCATGTGATCTGGTCTAAAGCTCATTGAAGGAATTGGGAGACTTGCTATTGACTTGAATGGAACTTTTTTAGGGAATGATGTGAAATGCTGAGCAAATTAGTATGAACAAGCATGACCTGTTAAAATAAATGCAGTTTGTGGGTTTTTTTGTGTGTGTGTAACAACAATAATTGACTTGTGACCTGGAGTAAATAAATAGTTCTAAAGCGAATACTAATAATTTGTTCTTCATGTCCACATTGGGTAGGACAAGAAGTAATTGGCTTAATCTCTGGCAAAGCAGATTTAGTTTAGATCTTAGAGGATGCATTGGGCTTTTTCTAATGTGCATTAAATTTAGTGCTACTGGGCATTTATGCACATACTATTTTTCCAGCTACATGCCGGAGATCCGCCACTTCAGAGCAGACAGACTTTATTAATCAAGTCTGTTCCGCATGTGAGCTGAGGCAAACTGCACCGCCCTACGTGCAGTTGTACAAGCAGCAAAATGCATGTCAGCGTGCAGAAAATGGCAGTGGTATGCTTTTGAACTGAGGCACCTCTGAGGTGTTTTAGTTCAAAAGTGCACCACTGCCATTTTCTTAGCATTGATACGCATTTCACCACTTCTACAACTATGTGTCGCAGCACCGGGCACTTTTCAAAGCTCCTGACACCGTGACACATGCATGTGTAAAAATGCCCTCTCATATGAGGTACTAAAGAAATGTGCATTAGGCTGCCTTAGCACACAGTAATGAATTCCCATGGTTTTAAAGTGACAGTTAATGCACAGTAGCCTATTTTATTGTGCATTAGTGTAATTGTATAGTTTTTATGTGATGCCTTAATGCATAGTAAAATAGGCTACTCTGCACTAATGTGCATGTGTAGATGCGCCCACGGAGAACTTTTTGGGTATACTGGCTGTGAAGTCCTTGGACAGGCTAACTGTATCAGACGTCAGAAAAAAATCTCAAAAAGGTTTTTTTCAGGGATTTTTATCCTTAACAAAATTAAATAATTCAACAGAGTTAACGTACTAGGTATATGCATTACACATGCTTATCCAGAGCATACTGAAATAAATGCTGACAATAAATCCCTTTTAAGGTTAAACATATATTTCAGTTTTATGAATTTGGAGGGCATTCAACCATGGCCAAACCAAGACAAAGCTTTAAGTCAGAATTGAGGGTCCCCCAAAAAATGAAAATAAAATGTTGCCCCTTAGAAGGGATTTCATTTTTGACATACTTATTGTTTTGCCTAAACTTAAATTCTGGTGATTTGGGGAAGGTTCCAGTTTTGCTAAAAGCTTTAAAGAAAATTGGATAAAATAAGCATACAAATGAATGCAGTACAGGAATGGAGGAGAGGACATGCTAATAAAGATTGGTAATATAAAATTTCAACACCTGCTGATATGTGGTTATTCTTAAAACTTGTCACATTTAAGCTCTTGGTCAGCATAACAACTTACTTTTAACACTTACACATAGTCATTCCTCTTCAATAGTGCTTAGCAAGATATATATTGCATACCTTGACTGTCTACCAATAGCAGTGCACTATGGCCTCACAAAAACACTTTACAATGTTTATGAATCAGATTTGTTTTTCTGCAAATAGAATGAACTAAGCAACATTTCTGCTTTCTTCAATTAATTCCAGAGTGACTGTGAATGTGAAGAATCAAAACAGAATGATAGATTTCCAGATGCCTTTGGAGCATTTCAAAACAAACATGAACAAAACAAAAAGGAAACAATGAATGATACAAGAACAGGATGAGAATTCATGATGACTGGAAGGAAACAAGGGGGAAAAAAAGACAAATGTATTACTGAGCAATGTTACTGACAGCTGTACTCACTCGTAGGAAGCTATCCAAGGAGCCATTTTCCATGTACTCAGTAACAATCATAACTGGCTTACCTGAAAATACATTAAAAGAAATGCAGCACTCTCAGAAACAGAAGAAAATATTTGTATCTGTTTTAGAAACTCGTTTCTAAAAAATGTCCTCCTCCCACCAAGCATAGAGATTATTTTAAATAAAAAATAAAAAACAAAACTAAAGTAAGAAGATTCATGAGGCAAGAACAACAGTGCTAAGCTCTAAATACAACTCCACTGAAGACAGGGGTAATGCACCCAGTTTTATTAACTTTGTGACTATGAACAAGTTGAGTATTAAGAAAGGCAGGTGAAGTACCAATGTTTCTGGTTTGCACTGTTACTACACCACACTGTCCCCCAATCATGAAGAGCTCACAGTAAGGACCTTGACACAGGTTATATTTAAGATGCAATTAACAGGTTAAGCATGCCTTAAATAGTAACCCAACCACACATTCAAGTCAATTTAAGGCATGATAATACAGTGAAAGAGACATGAGTTTCATGATGCTGGGCTCCCCCTACACTGGCAAGTAGGGTGTGTTTGGGATCTGGTCGTTGATCCTAAAATTGTGCATCCTGCCAGTCACATGTAGTGGTTGGGATTGTGGATTAGATCCCATCATGCCTTACTATTTGAACACCAACAAACATTCATCTTAAGTGCTGAAAAGAACTTACATAGAAAAGTACTATAGAAGTGCCCTTATCCATTGTGTATTTAAATACATAGATACCTTTACCTACCATTGGCTATGAAATCTTATAGGCTATGACCAGACAAGCATGGCTGTATGGTAAGTGGTGTGGCACACATGTCAGTGGTGCCACATACTGCATGCTCTGTTGTTCTCTGTGCTGCAAGGGAGCAGTGTGGAGGGTTTTTTTGACCCCTGGATATCCAGGGGGCGGTCAAAAAAAAGACAGAAAAAAGAAGTGGAGCAGAGCACATGGCAGCAGCATGTGCCAACCAAAGCTGGATCCTGGCCATCTGTAGCTACACTCCACTGCCAGTCAGGCGCTATGTGGCAGGATCACCACTGCTGCAGCTCCAGGAGGCCTCCAGGACCCCAGGTAAGGCTGCTGGGGCCATCATGGGGACCACAAGGTGTGCCGCCGCTAGTTGTCCCCAGGAAACCAAACATCCAGGCATGTCTGGACGCGGCCGTCATGACAGGAATCGCTAGCAGATAATTCCCCCTCCCACCCACAGTGCATGGGAACTCTGTGGTAGTCTACAGCTTATTGTGCCAGGCATCCTATGCCCCCATGCGGGAGGAGAGGGCAAAGTGTGTTAGGGACAGAACAGATTGGAACAATGTGGAGCTCCACAACAAGCAGTTCTCTCCATTGCTGTAACTTAGAAATGCTTCTCCTAACTGGGCTGCTGAAGATCAGATCATCATAAGCTACACTTTAACATACTTCCTGCTATATTAAGGGCAGCTTGGATGTGGATAAGCATTTGACCTTAGATTTTGGGTTTATGATGGAGCAGAGGAACAGCCCCATACTCATTATCTTATGTTCTCTTCTAGAGAAATACTTTCAAAATTCCTCTGCTCAGCGCTGACCTGAATTACAATTTGAACATCTGAAAAGCAACTAACTAACTATCCTTGAAAGTAGTTTGTAGAAATGCAGTACGTACTGCAATCACAGCTTCGTGAAACCATTCATTTTGCCCCATGACTTCTGCAGCACAACCAGGGATGTATGTGGAATTTCACATATGAGAGAGAAAGATATCAAAATAAAAGTTATTACAGTGAAGTTTTTAGAAAAGGCCATTGCTCTCTCAATTTCTTACTATCATGCAGGTTTTATTATTTTGTAGTCCATTTTCCAAACCTTTTTTTGGGTAGGCAAAGTGGGTGAGACTGGGGGGGATAGTTAGGGACATACACTGTTACTGTAACTATAATGCCATGTAATGCAGGGAGACATGGGTGTACAAACACATGACAAGAGTCTTGAGAATCATCCACAATAACATTGCAGCTTCTAAGGGTGAGGAATTGCCCCAGCTCTTTAAGAATTATGTTGTATGATTAGCTGCATAAGAACAACAAAGAGAAATTTAAATCCATGGTACCAATTAGAACCTATTGTGAATTTGTCATCCTTCTCTCTCTCTCTGTTTCTCTGTTTTACTTCTTAACAGCAATGGTTTCCACAAAATGGACACTTACAAAAAGAACATTTGTATTTTACAAAACCTTTTTTAAATCTGTGTGGAAAATTGAATTAACATAATTTAGTTTGTCTAAATGAATTGAAACATTTTATTTTGTGTCAGATTAACACCAGTCTATCCACTTCAGTCGTCGCTGGAGCTGTAAACCTGCATTTCTGTTGTGCCCAGGAATCTCTGGCTGAAATAGCATTACCCAGAGAAGTAGTGGAATCCCCATCCTTGGACATTTTTAAGAACTGGTTAGTCAAACACTTGTTTAGGATGGTTTAGACAGACAAGATACCGTCTTGAGCAGGGGGGTTGACTAAATGACCTCATGAGGTCCTTCCAGCAATATTCTTCTATGATTCTCTTACCCATGATGCACTCAAGTCTCTCCTGGTAGATATACTTTGATGTCTCATGGGAAATGTAGTCTGCCTACCTATATCAGTGACTAGAGATGAGAAAATCAGCCTGTTCTTAACTTTGACCCTGTACTGAATTATTCTACTGGATGTGGACTGTTCAAGAGACTCAAGAACACTGGTCCTCCCACAACCCTCCCATAACTGGTTACAAGCATGGTGCTGGGTAATCTACAGTAAGAGAGAACACACACTTAAAACCAACAGTTAGTTTTGGTAACACTAAGAGCGAAGTGATACTCAGAACCTATTGGAATACTGAAAAGATCACCTCAAATTATCAATCTGAACAACAGCGTAACATCATAACTAGGCTACCTGAAAAGGTTGCATGATAAATTCATATTCTTATGATTCTGAAGGACTGTATTACTTTCAAATGCCTAGTTACTGTAAAAAAAAAATCAGATAATTTCATGATGGATCAGAAATCTGAGATTAGTTAGGGCAAGATGGAAAACCTTTCAAATTATTATAAAATAACATCTCCCTGTCTTATTTGTCTTCCCATAAACTGAGTGCCTCTAGTGAAGGTTTTCACTCGCATCTAGTTGAAAATGTTTCTGTAATCGGAAACACATGCTGCAAAGTAATGCTGTGTACTTTTAAAGGAACATTCTGCATTCATTTATCAAAATGTAGCCATTTATACATGATAACAACTTGTGTCAACAGTGTTGCTGAAATTTATTATACTAACAGGCTACAAATTGCTGTAAATTATTAGTAAACTAAGCAGAACATGTGTGCTGGCTATTAAGACTACTGCTTATAGGACACCCATGAGACTAGTGTAGAAGGAAAGTTCAGAATAGAAACAAATATGAAGCAGGGGAATAATTCAGTGTTGGAACAAAGGACAGAGGTCTTATTTAGCTAACACACCTCATCATCTCTCCTGTGTATTGCATGGCACACTGCCCCATATTAGTTTGAGTGCCTCTAATAGCCAATCATCTCCTCTAGTGAGGTTGGCCATTGCAGATTGCTAGAAATTGATTCAAAAGATTTGATCAGTATAAAAAGTCAGTGCATTGCTAGGGAGGAGCCAACTGTCAAAAATCATATGGTTAATGATGAAAAGTCACATTGCCTATTTAACTTGCATTTTAAATATTGGGAATGATCCTGTAAACTCTCTTCCAAAACCAGACACTCCTCTGACTGTTGTTTATGTTACCATTTATTGCCAAATAAGTGCCTAGTATATTTAAATCTAGGCTATTAATCATTAATAACAACTGCTACTAATCATTAATGGTTATAACTAACCATTAATAACTGCTATTAATGTTATATGTTGCTTAAAGTGTACCACTCCAGGCAACACCAATAACATAAACACCTTGTCTGCTTACTCTTCCACTACCTAAATGGGTGCTTATTAATGAAAACCAACAATATTCAAGCTCTATCCAGTCCACACACAAACACACACACATGAATACAACCCATTTGCTGAGTAAGATGCTGTCTCACTTGGCAAAATAGACAGAAAGAATTTTATAGGGTTTCCAAAATGTGACAACGCATGGAGGGTTGGAAGGAAAGATGCCATTATTTTCTCAATTTATATCTGGACTATTGACTATATTTAAAGAGGACCCCTGCATCCTCTAGTTTTCTGCTGATTTGAATATAGAAGATTAAAATCTTGCCTTCTCTTACTTAAATGTAAGCCTCTATATGACAGGCCTTTCATATGCAAAACTTACTACTGAAATTATTCATAGCCTATCATGAATAATATAACACAAGACTCGAACTTCCTAAAAGTCACCTGCATAAGAACAGAGTAAGAACTGGCTATTCTGCAATGCACACTCAGAGGCAGTGATGCACAAAATTGTGTGTGCAGAAATTATTTTCAGAAATGCCACAGAAATATCAAGTGCAAATGAATGTAAGGAATTTCTTCTCAATTCTCAAACTATCACTGGAGCCTCAAGCACTTCCGAGAATTCAGAATGTACAATGTGCCTCATTAAATGTAAGAATGAGATAACTGAGATTTATATAGGCAGATTTGGCAGCCTTTCCATATGTATTTGGATTGTCAGATAGAAAAATCAAATAAATAGTTTGTTATCTAAGGAAATAAAGTATGTGCTCATGGAATGGTCCCAGAGAAAATATTTCTATTATAGCTGTGTCTATTAGATGTAATTTATGAGATTCTCTAAAGTTTTACACTAGCTATTTTTGTTCGTGCCTTTTGTTTGTCTTTATTTCATAGACTGTTGCAATCAGATGCAAACCTCTGAAGTTACCTTTATACATTGCATAAAACTCCACATGCAGGCAATTAAAAAAATACTAAAATATATTCACAATCCTTGCCCCCTTTTAACATGGAAGAGAACCCATCTGTATCCAAGCTATTCCTTGAAGAGGCACAAAGTTGTCACTTCTAGTGGTTTGTTTTACTGACAGTCTTGCAGAGTTACATAGGGATTTTTAACCTACAGAATTCCAGAGATGAAATTTCACTTCCTTCCTACAGGTTTTTCAGAGTATTCCTTACAGGATACTATTGGTCTTCTACCTATCAATTACTACAGGAATTTGATTTTCCTTTTTAGCACGTTACAATGTAATTCTAAGTTAGAAAATTTAACTGGAGTCTCTGTATTTATGTTTACCAACCTAAAAACAAAACCACTATTCTGTATTCTGTTGTAGGCTTTAAGGAAGCTGAGATTTGACTCCAGAGGCCCCACCTCAAATCAGCAAGTGATATTTGTTAAAAAAATGGAGAGCCGATGATGCAGTGAAGTGGAGTTGAGAGGAGGAGCAGAACGGAAGCAGCCATATAGTATTGCAGGGCTAGAGGAGCTCAGCTACTGCTGGGCCAGCATGACAGCATGCAGCCTGCTGGTATCCTCAGGAGTTTGCCACCTGTAATCTGTAAATCTTTTAGAAGGTGGGAGAGCATTTTTTAACAGACACCCCCATAAGCTGTACAATATCTCTTGTAGGAAGAAAGGGGAACCTTTCTTATATATAACAGCAAATATCACACTGATTGAATGCTAGCTATTTGTGTTTGTTTCAAGACCAATGCCCCATTCACAATAGTGCGTATTTTGCTTGATTAGGAAACACAGAACTGCTTTCTCGAAATGAGATGCCTTTCTAATGCATGGCTCAAGTGTGGACGCTGACCCAGTTTTAGTAAATAGTATTGTTTTCAGCAGGAATCAGTGTAGTCTGACAGGTAAGTCTAATAAATCAGAAATGCTAATGAAATGTGCTTTAAAACATTAACCACTTTTAGCCTGTAAATTTGAAAGTATTCCTATTGTTTGGGAATAAAAGTAAGAGCCAAGGTAGTAAATTCACCTTTAGGAAAAATGTGCAATGAACACAGAGGCCTTAGTATAAGTGCCTCCCCCTTGTATAAATCCTCAGTTATATAAAGATGGGAACTGTATTGTTCCTGTAAAATGTGTAACTTAAAAAATGGAAACTCTGGGTAACCTTATATAAAGATGGGCTTACAAGGCCAGATTCCACGTTTTTGCTGATTTGAACAGGAAAGCACTGACTAAGGGTGAAGTTGTGAAGATATATGTTATACTTATACCGTGTTAAATCTGTCGAATGTTAAGCGGTGTTAAAGTTAGAACATTCTGTGAGCAGTCACAGAATTAAGGGTTACTACTATTTTTTGCCTGCACAACTCTGACTTGCCACTAAAAGGCTGGTGAACAACGGCAGGGCTTGGAGCCAGGATACCTGAGCTTCATTCCTGCTGTGAAGTGCAATGTGCAACTTCACCCTAAGTATTTGACCACAGTAAAACAAAAAATAACTGAAGCCTGTTACCATAAAGAATGGCACTCAACAATCGTGGTGCCCTCAATTAACTGGGGGTGTGTGTGTGTGGGGGGAAGGTCTTTAGGGTCAACTTTTTTCAATGCCACATATCCAATCAAATTGTATATGCATTTTGTTAATTACTGTACATGTGTGATTGCAAAACTGGGGAGGACTGGAAGGGAATAATAGATATAAGTTGTTTGAGGAACTGAACAATTAACAAGAACTCAGAGATCCTGGGGTCCAACCTAAACACATCATTTTTGGGGGTTTTGCATTTCCATAGATACGAACGCTAGTTAATCTTATTTTTAGCTTTCCAATAAAGCAATTCTCTTGAGAAGAAATAGGCATGCTCTCTCTTTCTTCTAGGGCCCTGCCTGTAAGATAGGGTGTGGCTTAATTTGGGTACCCCAAAAATTGGGGCATTTAAAACCACTTTTAGATATTATATATCTTGTACTTCAAACTATTAATACCAATAACTGAATTCCTAAAAAATTATTTGTCAAATCTGTACTAATAAAAATGGCTAATGATTTAGCTTGAAAGCAACATATTGCGTCTATCCAATTAGAAACCTTAGGACACCAAAGTCCATGACTCTAAACAGATTATCAGCAAGAGTCTGTTGGCTGCTTTGTTAGCAATTAGCTCTGGAGTACTAAATTGGTTAGTACGATCTGTCATTTTATGGCTGAGTTTTAAGTTGTAAATATTCTCATGAAATGTTCTATTTTTCTCTTTTTCTTTCCCCCCCCCTTTCTTTCAAGGTAGGCATTTTATTCCCTCTTATTTTGCAGATCCCTTTGCACATTTTTTTCAGCTAACTGCTCTTCTTAACCTCACTTGCAACCGATCCCCAGCAGTGCTGGTCACTGACTTCACAGCAACTCCTAGATCAGTGAAAGCTCACTTTGCATCATTCATCTGAACTTATCTTTTCCTCTTTTGAGGAAAAAAAATCAAGGGGAACATTTCCCTTGTTAGATTTTCAGGGGGGTGACATTCATCTTTTATTGGGACATACTCATAGAAGAACACTGGTGGATTTTCAGAAGATACCTTGAAATAAGGTTGTTTCTTTTAAATTTTACTCTGCCACTCCACATGAGATGCATTCTAAGGTCTTACTTTTGGTGACAACTCCTTCTAGCCGAATGATGTTGGGATGATCAAACTGTCCCATGATGCTTGCCTCTCCCAAGAAGTCTCTTCTCTGCTTTTCAGTGTATCCAACTTTTAAAGTTTTGATTGCTACTGAAATTTCCTTCTTAGAAGGAAGTTTTAGACGCCCGCTGCACACTTCTCCGAATTCACCTGGTAAAGTAGAACAGAGGCAAAATATGAATTCTAGTTATTTCTTTAGGACTGTAAGGGGGAAGTCTTGCCAATAGCCAAGTCACTAATGTAATACATCCTTTGGTCAAGTTACAAAATGGAGGGTCAGTGACATTTGTTTTAAGCATGAGACCTTCAGACAGTTATTTAACTTAATTATGCCTGTTTTATATACTTTATCTGCATCAGAGGTCCTGATGCCTCACTGAAGGAGTACATGTTGAGATCACCTGAGAGTTCAAGTTAGGTCTAAACTGCTGCAGTGTGGGACAGGAGCAACAGAACCAATTGATTTGATGCAGTTACATCAGAGTAGTGAGGCATTCCCATGAACCGTGTCCTGACCCACCACTCAGTAGAACAGAACAAAATTAAGTGGCTTAGTTATTTCAATGTAAGTAGTGAAAAACTATTACAAGAGTTTGGATGTAGATGCCAGAGACAGTCTGCCGGAAAAAAAAGACTAACCTTTAGTAACATTGCTCCACTATAGCTCAATTTTGCAAACATGTGTGATGACTATTATGGGTTAATATTGACTATATATACACACAATATAGCTTACTGTTGTTGCAAGACAAAGCCTTTCATGAAGTGCTTTGGGATCCTCAGATGGAAAACACAAGACATTTTTAATACTATTTTATGCAGTTTCCTTTGTTCTTTGTTGGATACACATTGGCAAGACAGGACCCATGTAAAATACATAAGAAAAATTATTTTATGTTCCATGTAGGCAAATCAAAATTTATAGATAAGTTACTAGAATGTACTTTCTAGATGCCTTAACACTGCACTTACATACAATCTGGATTTGCTTTTTTCCAAAAAAATTGTCTTAGAGTATTATTCCCTGTATTTTAGATATAGAGAAGTTATGACTTTATACTAAACAATCTCTAAACAATTGTATCAGGTTAGTTTTAATGCCTTTAAAAAAATCAGCTAGGGCAGCTTTTCTTGACTCCCAGTAATTTAAATTTGACACATTCCAAGAGGCAAAATAACCCCTCCCCAAAATGGAAAATGACTTGCATATGCACAATCCATATACGAGGCATATAAATAACCACTTCATTATAGCCTATATATCATGATACTTCCCCCATGTGGTTTACTTAAATGACATAGAAAACATTTTGTTTTGAACAGACAAGAATGGAATTGCAAGCTAATGTTTTTTTCCCCATAAGGCAGCAATGTCTAGAGCTATTTTAATGCCCATTTTCTACTGATAAGCACTGAGTCAGCCCCTTTTCCTCAAAATGGTTTATATTTGAATGTAAATAGCTCCTTATGTGTCATATTTAGTCAGATGTTCTGGTGTAGAAAAGTCTGACTGGGAAAGGAAGAGCTACAAATCTGAATCTGAACTGATTAATTTTTATGTGAATCAAGAATTTTACTGAAGTTTTTGAGTTATACATTATATTAAGAATGATTATACTGTTTATTCATTAGCTTTTTACCACTTAATTGGTGCGTCTACACATGCATTTACTGAAGCCCAAATTGACTTTGGTGTAAGCTACTCTGGAGTAAGCGTGTTTGGGCAGGCATTTATACATGTGGGGATTAGGGAGCCAATTTGTACCAAGTTCCCTGCAACCCTGCAATGGGCCCCTGCCGCCATTGTGGGGAGCTCCAGACTCCCCCTGGGTGCTAGCCCAGGGGCTAGCAGGGAGCACCAAGCCAGAAGACAGCTGTCTCCTAGCTCTGGGGGGCTGCCTGCTACTGGAGTGGGGACAATGTCCCCCTGCTCCAGCAACAGGAAGCTCCTGGCCCTCGCAGCTGGGGGGAGGGAGCTGGGACCTTCCCCATCCCTACAGCTTTTTCCAAGACCCATGCCTCAAATCACCCAATCAGGGCATGGGGCTGCAAACTTTGCTTGACCAGGACAGTTCCTGGCCAGCCCTGGGCTGCATAGGGAAGTCTGCACGTGCAGCCCAGAGGTGGCTGGAGACTGCCCAAAACAGGAGTTTCCAGCCACCTCCAGGCTGCATGTGCTTCCTTGCACAGCCTGGGGCTGGCTGAGAACTGTCCTGGGCAGGGGCAAGTCCCAGCCAGTTCCAGACTGGGTGGGGAACTTTCCTCATGCAGGGAAGTCCCAGCCCCTGCTCCACAATCACAACTGCAATTACAATCATGGAGTTGGAGATGGGGAGTTTATTCCCAACCTCAACTCTGAGATCGCCAGCAGGAAGGTCTCAGTGCTGGCTGCTCCATGGTCACGGGGCTCAGGCTGGGGGATAAGGGTCTCTCAGCATCCCATTCCCCAATCGTGATGGTAGAGTGGGGGCTGGGGGATAAGGATCTCCCAGCCCCAACTCCCCTACCGTGATCTGGGTGCAGGGGGGTTGGAACTCCTTGCTGCCAGGGCAGGGGGACATAGTCCCTGCCCAGGCTCCCATGGTGGAGGCCGCCCAGGTAGCAGGCAGCTTCTGGGGGCAGGGAGATATCTCCTGCCCCCTAGTGGATGGCTGACCAGGAGCAGATTTTGCTCCTGGTCAGGCGTCTATAGGAGCACTATAGCACCATTACTAATCCCAAATAGATTTGCAACTTGCATTTGCAGCTAGCAAATTTACTTGGGATTAGGGAGGTTGATTGCAAAGCAAGCATGTGCACATATAGATGCACATACTTGTTTCACAGTAAACTATGCTAATGTGAAGTTAAGTATCTCATGTAGACGTTCCCAATATGTCAGTCCCAAATGCAGTAGGATTATTTAGGCCAATAAAGGCATTTTAAGTCATTTGCCCACAGAGATTCATTTTGACATTGATGAGCTCATTATCTGTGCTAAGCAGTGTTTGCAGAAACTGAAAATGAGTGCATAGTACAAGAATCAAACATTTTGAGTAGATAACCTTTTATGTAGTATGCTTGTTTGAGTGGATTTAGTGCTCAGAGAAGCACTGGACTGAAAGCCCTCATTACTAAAGTTCTGCCTGTTTACCTATCAGTAAGTCTCCCCACTCTTTTGAAAGTACCAACTAATGGGCACGAGATAAAAATCATTCTCCACAGTCTAGGAGATGGAGAAAAATGGTGTCAAGACAGATTGGTTTTAGTTTTTAAATATAAACTCATCTTAGAAATTAACATACATTGCTTATTTATCTGAAGCAGTGGCATGAACCTGTAACAGCTTTTTGTCACCACTACCCTAAGTTGAAATTCAACCAACGATCTATAGATGAAAGTCTTCATATCCCATAACCAAATCTCCAAGCTACCCAGTACCCAAGTAGGATTTGCTAGTCTGCTAATACAAATACCTATCAAAATTTAATGGAATGAAGTATTACTCAAAATATCTGCACATCCGTTGCAGTAAAGTACTAGAATAGTACATGTTATATTGTAGTGACATTTTCTAAAATTAAGTGTTTTTACAGAGTACAAAGCCACTCACTGGATGAGAAAATATATATTTTAATGATTTCTGAGGACTGTGGGCAGCACAGTTCTATTCCAGGCTCCATATATATCATTAAAACTCCTAATAAAAAAAAATCTCCTACCAGCTAAAACTGCCAGTATGCTTTGTTAAGGGCAAACAGTGATATAGTTGATATGTTAGCAACCATTCAATACTGTTATGACATCCTTTGAGAGGAAGGCCAAAAGCACGACTTTAAAACAGGAAAAAATTGGAAATGTATCTTGTGCTGTAGCCTTGTATTTGCTTTTCTATATTTTTAATGGCCTGAAAAACTATTAACAAGCAAGTCTTTTATAACTATTACTTGGTCACTGCCAACCAGACTTATATTTATGATTTCAGCAAGCTGAGTACAGAGGCAATCAATCCTTCATCTCTGACCAGAGTCAGGAATGAGCTGTTTATTTGATATTTGTTTGATTTTTGTGAAAGAAAAAGTTATGCTTCATGTCTTTCGACTCTCTGTACCAGTTAACAGCAATTGTGCAATTTAGATGCAAGATGAACCAAGAAAAAAAAAAAGATGATTTATAAGAACATTATATTCTTCCTTCAGACCCAGCATGTAAAGCCTGTTGACCTAATTTTCAGAACTGTGGAAAACTCATGAACATTACTGAAAACAGTGAGTATCGTAAGCTCTTCTGCAAATTATATCACATAGTAGCAACACTCCTCTGTGGACTGTGAATATTAAGTGAGTTTACTTAAATAAGACATTTTTTCCAGCTTTCATGTAGATAGTAAGTGTAAACAGAAGTGACAATTTTTGTCAGACCTGACCTCTGAAAGTGCCCTATAGCTGTGACCAAATACAAATGCATGGCCGCAGAGCACTTTAAAGGAGACTAAACCAACAAAAATCGGAACCTTCATTGCATGAGGGTTCAGATGAAGATGTTCTAAAATGGAGTGCCTTCATTAATGTCTGTCTGCACACACCAGGAGCAGGGCTGGGCTGAGTGCACCATTGGCCAGTGCCCGCCCGAGAAGTGCCAATGGCACTTCCAATTTTGCCGGCAGCCCATCTGGTTTTGCTGCTGGTGCTTCCAGGGTTGGCAATTGGCTGATTGACCTCTGGAGACCCCCAGAGTCAGGCGACACCGGTCACCTATTCTGAAGACAGCACTGTGGCTGGGAGGAGGGATAGGCAAAGCTAGAGGAGAGTGGTTGCAGACTCGCAGCTGCTCCAAATTGCATCTGAATCTCTCAACCCCTGGGATCCAACAGGAAATGTCTGTTGGGTTTGGGGGATCATTGTAATTCATAGTGCTTCCTGCAAAGTGCTACAAGTTACAGTGGGAAGCTGCACTTCTGTCTGTGCCTAGTGTCATGCTTTCCAAGTAGCTGAGTATCACAAATTAATCCTTGAAGAAACTGTAACATGGTGGTTGGGGTACTCCAAATGCATTAACATTTGGTCTCTTCACATACAGTACAGATGGACTCTCAAAGATCCTGGGCTAGTCCATATCTATGCTGGCTGACACGTAAACTACACCTTTTTTGTGTGAGCCATTGCTCTTCATCCACTTTAGCTGAGCCCACATGAGGGAAAAGTGATTGGATTTCAGCAGGAAATTAGGTCTGTCAACAGAAGGGCTTTGCATACTGCTAGATATGTGATGGTTTTTAAGAGAGAGTGCTGCTGGTTGTCTCTGATGTCCATCAGGTATTGTTTGCTGCTAAAATGACACGCACAGAGGTGGTGTTGCCTTGGCTTCAAACCGATATGCCCATTTGGATAATCTAAACAGACATTATTGGAAAGGCTCTATAGGATATAAATCTTTTCAGGGGATCCAAAATGTTTCATTAAATTGGTTGTTTGCTCCATCACTCAATTACATTTTGTTAGGAGTTTAGACCACAGAGCTTCATAGCAGACAAATCCGTGAAAGTGACTACTTCCTTGATTTGATTTGATTTTAAATCTAAATTTCATGGAATCCACTCCTCCACCACAGATGGAGAGTCAGCAAAACTAAAAGTTTCATGAGCTTTGTGAGCCTCATCAATCTCATGGATATACACTGCAAACCTTACAGAAAAGGTAGTGTCCAGTCTATTACAACTAAACACATTTTGATTGATAGGATAAATATTAAATGGGCTTTGATTAATTTGGACATTTTTCTATAAGGCTGTCCAAACTTTAAAAGAAAAAAGTGAACACTTAAGGCTTAGTTCAGCAAGGGCTTCAATCCATTTCTATTCAAGAAAACACTCCCCATGTGCTTAAACAACCTTTAAAACCAATAAGACTTAAGATACACTTAAGCTTTTTGCTACACTGGGTCTTTAAAAGCATCAAGTAAATTGTTCTAAATGAAAGAACAATCAGGTTAAAACCTGAAACAATTACTATCCAAGTTGTATTTTCTGATGCTCAGCTTCTGAAATCCTCCATGTTTCTGTTCATGAGAAAAGGATGTACCCTTGTTGCACCAAGGTATTCAAAGTCATGTGGATAAAGGGACCTTCCCTGTTCTTCCTTATTAAAGTCTCTGGATAAAGCCGAGTGGAAATATTTGAAGAACTACTCCAGTGTTGTGATTACTTCACAGACCAGTGTGTATAGTTCTTAATTTCATGCTTTAATGTTTTAAAGAATCCGTATTCGATACAGCTGCTTCTTAATGCAATGTCTTTATCTTCCTCTGATATTATTCACGCTTGCATCTATAAAGAAGGTGACTGATGGGCAAGGAATGCCCAAGACATTAGCTCAAATGGCATTTCAGAAAGAAGGTTGGCAGTATCCTCAAATTGAAAAAGTGTTCCTGCAGATGCTAGCTAGAAACATGGAAGCTGGGAGAGCAAGCTCTGGGGTATGACATCTGCAGGCATTTCATGAGATTTGGATTCTATTAAGGGCATGCTGCCATGAGGCAGGAGATGCTAGAGGTGCTGCAGAGGGGTACAGATTCCCCATAGATTTATTCTATGCTGCTGTCAACTCCCTTGAGACCAGTGTGGGTCAAAAAGAATCTGCTGGTTTTGAGGGTCAAAAGCCACTGCCACTTTCACTGGGGTGGAGTGGTTCAGGGAGAAGTTTATGACATCCTTGCCCCCTTAGGAGACCTTTGGTTTTGAGGCTTATCTGAATATAAAACTCTTTTCCCCACTGCCATATATTTTATTTATTAATTTGTGCTTACTGTTCAGTCCTATATGCACTGTGATAAAAATAAGTAATATCAATGAGTTACACATGCTCATCCACACATACAAAAAGAGTGTATAAATGTTTCTGGTGATGTACCTTCTGCTTTTAAGATTCGCACAATGTATGAAGCCTAATATATTCATTAGGTATCTTAAGATTCCAGCCTCACAGAAATATAACTTGGGATTTTGAACCACTCCTTTCTCTCCCTCCCCCTGCTACTTCTAAAAATCCATGTGCAGTGAGTACACTGCTTCACTGCTTTTACTGAAGAGGATGGAGAACAGTGCACTCTTGTGGGACAAAATTAAAACCAGCAGTAGCAAAAAGTCTACTGCCAAGGAGCATAATCTGACTTTTTCCTAGCAGCAATGAAGGGGAATAAAAAGTGTATGAAAAATTATTCCCTTGTTGGGTTAATTGTGACGTATGTGGAAAGCACTTGCTCAGCTTTCTTAATGAAATGCTACAAAAGTGCTTGCTGAAAGCCTGTTCCTTCTTCTCAAAATGTTAATGAGATCAGTAAAAGGTTAAGGAAAAAATTAGGAAGCTTAAATAAGAAATACCATAAAACAATATCTGATAAATTTCAGGCTTAAAATACTTCCATGGGGGGTGAGGGGAGGGCTGAGATTTTACAATTATCTACTGCGCTCTGACACGTCACATGAAGAGGAATGGGTGCCCATCAAGACCATGGATATCCTGGAACACCGACAACATCATTCAATAAGACACTTGCATTCCTGTTCCAAAATCTGGCCATCTTGACTGCTTGCAGATGTTAAAAAAAACCAAACAAACCCAAAAATGTGGTATTAACCAGAAGAAGCAGCATGTTATTTGACCCAGCTCTTCAGCATCTGTATAGATCAGGAGCTTCAGCAGGGCTTTTTGGTGCTTTTATGTAACAGCTGATTCAATCAGCTATTAATTAAAAGGAGCACCTGATCTATACAGACATTGGGTGAGCTGGGTCCAACTAAAGCAATGTCCCTTCTGGGCACACGCTGGGCTTAGCATGGGAGTGCACTGAATTTAAAGTAAAATACCATTTTGGGTTTTTTTAAATGTCTGAAAGCAGCTTACTGTTTGTTTTAAATACAATCTATATTAAATGGCATTTCTATGGCCCAGACAGCCAGTAACCAGTCAGCCAGGCTTTTGCTCCTAAATCACTAATTCAAACTGAAAAGCTGACCAAAATCAATTCTGGGATCAAAGGTCACCACAACCTGATGGGTGGGTGGTGACTAGTATGAAGTGAATTCCAGGAGTCAGCTGAGGCCATATACGGTGTCCATATACGAAAAACAAAACATGACAGCTTCAAAACTGGTTGCTATGTTGACAAACTGCAGTGAGACATGCAGGACTGAATGGGTGTAAGTCTGACTCAAAAAAAAAAGTTCAAGTAAATTTTGAGAAACTGACTTGTTATCTGTACTATGTCTGTTTGGGAGAAAAGCATAAGACCTGTATGTCCAGAGCTGTTAATTCAGAACCTTTCCATGGACTAAGTTCAGTTTCAACAATTGCTTGTTTCTTGCCAATGCAAAAAACCCAACCCTGTAGTGAACACCTAGCTCGGATGTGTGCATTCTGTATGGATCCAATCCCAGACAATTCATAAATATTAACTAGCATTCAGATTTAGATTAATAAATTCCACGTATCAACTCCTCCTTTTAGTTTGACTTGTTAATGGTCATTACCTGCTCCAACAACTTTATCGATGGCTATATTGATTGCGTCCAATTCTTTGGCAAACTCATGCACAGCCTGGTTGGGGTCTTCATAGGTATGTGGGTCTACATACGTTCTGAGGCCTGGAAGTTTTACTGTTTAAAGACAAACAGAAAGAGAGAGAAAAGATCATGTGGGCTCAATTAACCATATTAGGAAAATAGGAGAAGAGCAATAAACAAACACACACCAATCACTATCAGAAAAAAAAGGTGCATTGCTTCCCCAGGTTGTACACAGGATGATTAGCTGCTTTTGAAGGTTTCTGAGAGGCCAAGAATTCTTAATAGCTTGTGAATACAACATTCAGGAACACACATACCTTGCCCTTCATTAACATATCTGTTTTCAGATAGAGACCATAAGGTTTGAAAGCAGGCCCTCAGACACATCTGAACTTGAAAAACTGGCCTGCATTTGAATATCAAAGTACTATCTCATAATGTCCACTCAATGTTTAGATACTCCTTTACTTTGTTTTTTTCAGGGTAGCAAACAGAGGAAAAAACTAAAATATATATGATTTGGAATATATACAAACAAAATTTTCACGTTCCGAAGAATTGACAAACCATCATTTATGAGGAATGCTCAAAAGTCCTCTAGAGTTAGTGGCAGGCTGTTGTTGCTAATTCTGAGACAGACAATACTGAGAACAAAACAATTTTTCCGTTCCAGTTTTCTGACCTGTGGTTTTTATTTCACCGGGGGCAAGCAGTATGCTCAAATAAGTGCCTGGGACTATATGGCTTTAGGGGCAAGTCACAAGCTAACCTAATCTTCCCCACCCCCATCGTCAGGGCTGGAAGGAAAGGAAACACATTGTCATCCCAGATCATCCCCTCTGGCAATAGTGCCAGAGGCAATCTAAAGACATTTTTCCACCCTTCTGTCGCTTTATAGCTGGGGGCCCCCTTCCTGCATGAGTCTGATAAATTGTGTGGCTGGCTCTGAATTCATTTTGTGTGCCACAACACTTCTTTAACAAAAAGTAAAATAACCACCATCCTCAGGAGTATGCTTTCCAAGTATGGCCTGAAAGAATGTGTCAAAACTACTGACCTCTGCTATGGTTTAAATGTGCTTTTCAGTGCATATGATAAGGAAAATAATAACCTTTTTTTAAACCATTGGTTAAAGTGTGGCATTGTTTCAACAATAAACTGCAAACATTTTCTTGCAGGTTTTATGAAAAGTAAATTTTATGGAGATTTATTGGCCTCAGAACTGACAGGAAAATTGCAAAAGCAAGTCCCCATATTCACTGCCTCCACAACAATGCCAACTAAGACTCACGCTCCCAACAAAAGGGCTGTGTGGTATATGCGCACTAATAAATGATGAATGTGTTTCCTTAAAGCATCTGATGATTAAAGAATCATTTGCAAGTAAAACAAAAAGTAATTGGCCGTATATAGCTGTTGGTTAAAACAATCTCGTAAATGCTTCTCTCCATCTATGCTAAAGGTATGTCAAGGCTCCCCCTGCCCCCAATAAAAATAACAACAATTAAAAGCTTCTGCTTAGTAGGTCTGCTGATTTTTAATGCTGACCCCAGAGGTTCCCAAGATCAGGTGATGGTGACTGCAAGGAGAATAATCCATTCAGACCAATAATTAAGGGCAGCCCATATAGTCACTGGGTTCTGTCATGAAAAACAGATAATAAACACATGTACATGTGTTAAGCTGCACTACTTTACAGCTCATTCTGTGCAAACACAATAATTTACATTTCCATTTTACCAGCATGAATTGCCCTAAGGGTAGCAAAAAGTAGAAAGGGCCTAGCCAAAGAGGGCAAGGGGAGAGGATCTGAGGAGGTGAAACACATTTCAGCTCCTTTGAAGTAATATTATAGGATTTGTAATAAGGCTGTAGGGAATAGTTCATGGCTGGAGCTTTTTAAAAAAAAAGTAATTCAGAATAAACTAACTGAAATAAACCAGCTGCTGTATTTAAGATGCAGAAAGTTTATGACAGCCATGGAAGTTACTTTATCTTCTTGCAGTTAATACAAACAATTTTTTGTTTTTGTGAGAAAAGCTGGAAAGGAACAGAAAAATAGTTTCAACAGTGACACGCACATGCAGAAAACTTGACAACTCTAAATATGTCTGCATAATCAGTAACTCTTTTTGGGGATGTTTCTCAGAGAAGTGATCAAGACCCAGAATTCATGACCAACTGGATTCATCTTAGTATCAGCATGGCACTACTCAGAAAACAGAGCGTAGGTATCCAAAGCCAAATGAAAAGCAATCTAATCCACACGAATTTTAACTGAGCTGACAGGTTTTGGAAGAGTGATTGTGCCATTCTGTTGTAAAGCAGTAGGGAGAGCTAACTCTGATCTGTGATTTGTCTGTGACGCTTATTTTTTTAATGGCTGCTTTTATTTTATAACCTAATTAAATTTGAATGATGAAGCTCTAATGACATGGGGCGCATACAACTGAATGGATTGTTTGAACTTAGTTTGTCAGCTGCCAAAGTGCAGCACTAACAAAACTCAGCACCAGGTGCTCCAAGAAAAGAGGGAGGGAGTTTGGGGCAGGCGGGGACAATAACTCCAGACAAAAGAATGATATTAACTGTCACCTGCCAATTGTCCTGCTGTAACTGTAACTGGGAAACAGTTCTAATTTGCAGCTACTGTGGCATAACCCCATAGTATGGAATGGTAATGCAATTTTTCTTGGTATACAACCAATTGCTATATCCAACAGCTCTCTTTTGCAGAAGGTGCAGTGTCTCCACTGCTATCTAGAAAGTGATATAAAGGTAGAGCATAATTTTGCTGTAAACCAAATTAAGTTTAAAATGCAGTACCCCAAATAGTATCGATGTATATATGCACTGCCAGGCTGTATTGGTGTCTTAAGTGCATAGCATATTTTTAAAAGTGCAATCTAATCACAGCAAAGACTAAAGCATATGAGAGACTGGAGAGATTTCATAACAAAAGGGATTGTTACAAGAGAATCCAAGAGAAGCTTTAGAATAGACATCTTGATTTTTTAATTACAAATTGCTATTTACTGATTGTAAAATAAGGCCCAGATCCAAACACTACTGAAATCAATAGGAAAAAATCCTATCCTGGACTTTGGATCAGGCCCTCAGAAAGCATAGTGTGCTAACTGCTTCACTCTTATCATCAGACAACTGAACATTAACAAATTAGAGAGGACATGTTCTTGGAGCAGTGAAAATTGTAAACAAGACCACACTTAATTGACATGCTTGTCTTAAGAAACCTCTCCAAAGTCTCAGAATGCTTAATTCTAATCTCAGTTTATTAGCAGACCAACTTTGTAAGAAAACCTTTCTCCTTGATACTTTCAGTAATTGTCAAGTCAGGTTCTGCTAGTTTGGGTTATATTTTGCTTTGGAAAAGTTGCCTTTATTTAGATTTCAAATGTTTAATAATAAGGAAGTTTATGCTTTTCATTCAAGTAATGCAGAGCAGAATCAATGTAATATTGTATTATTTGAACACTGCCAACACTATGTTGCTCATTGCCTATCTAACCATGGTGGAAAGAAACTGCACCAAATATTAATTAGTTGGATGAACTCTCCTGCTTGACACAAGAAAACTTTTCTTTCATTTATATCTAAATTTAAGCTAGTTGCCGAGTTGGGGATTAATTCAATAAAATATATAGAGTCTTTCATAACTTACAATGTCCATTCCCAAAATGTAGCCTCTTCTCATCAGCACCATGTTTAGACTTGTTGTATCCACAAAATCTACAAGCAACAGAGAAAAATATAAAGAAACACATATAATTTTACATCTTAATCGTTCGATCAAACAGAATAAAATGTTTTCCCCATAACAATTAAATACCTATTTGGAAGTTTAACAATGTTTCCATTCTCTACCCTATAGAGTCAAGCTATGTTCTCAGGGAATTCAAGGAAATTAGCTAATGAGAGGATTCATTGATTTTTGACCCCTACCATTTAATTTTACAATTGCCTAAGAATGTGTTTATAGCATTTTTTAACTAGTACTGTATGACTGGTGCTGCTCATATTAGCAGGCTCATTACTGAGTAGCAGTGCTCCAATTTCTCAGGCTACAGAAAGGGGGAAGGTAAAGTACAGCCATTCTATTGTCTGACACCACTTGATTGACCACGCTCACCAAGTGGCAGATGGGGAATAGAAGTTAGAATAAATGTGTAAAACAGATGATAAACTAACCTCCCAATCAGGACATACACCACAACTGTGAGAAGAATAATCGCTACTGCAGCTGAAATGGCGATCATTACAACCTGGCTATTCTCGCTGGAGATGGAGAAGGCTGGGAAAATTAAAACAATAAAAAAATATAAAAAAAATAACCAAGAAAGCATTAAACACAACACAACTGACATGCATTTGGGGATCAGAAAAATTAACACATTATTTCATTGCTTTGTTCTGAACTTTGAAAAGCTGCTTCCTAATATTCTAAAGAGTAATGTTTCATTCCTTTTCTTTGCTTTACAAGTTTGGAAAAGATTTTGATGGTATTTATTACTCTGTTATTATGTTATTGTCATCTGTGACAAGAGCAAGGTGAGAAGTTCAAGTCACGAATTACCAGCATTAGTTTATTTCTGTAACATTTTCAAACCAAGGATCGTAGTGCTTTAGAGGACAAAACCTCAGAGTATCATTGTGAGGTCAGGAATCATCATTATCCTACATATACATTTAGGAAGAAGTACATTATAAAGAACAGTCACTTCAAACTGGGGCAAATAAGTTTCTGGGGTGGTAGAGAAGTTGGAAATGGAGAAAAGAAGTCTATGTTAGCAGGCTAAACAAATGTAGGAAAGACCTTATTAATAGATTTGGTGGTCTCTGTGCATTATGGACATAGCCTGGCTCATGTTCCATAGATAACAGACATACAATAATGATTGTGCAGCCTTGACAAACTAATAATTGTGATGAAATTATGGGGCAATTTAATACCTATCTACATAAAATTTACACAAATTATTCAGATACATTCACAGCTGCGGCCTGTCAGCCATTCTTCAAAGCTATTGATCAGCTTCTTACCCTGTGGCATACAGTTATACATTATAATCAAGTTAAAGGCAACATAGAAAGAACATAAATGATTTCGTTTTTCTTATCATATACTTCCTATCATCAATGATTTTTTTCCAGGCACACACTGTTTGTCAGTTACTATAAAGGCTGAAGGTCACCAAAATAGCCATTTGCAGCTAACTGGTTTTGAAACAAGAAGCTCAATTATTTTCCAGAATAAGAGCTGAGAGGGAAGGGGAATAGCTCACATATCTCAAACATTCAAACATGTCAAGTGCAAGACTATTTGGCTTGTTACTAAATTTTTCTGTTTATTTTTAAAGACACTGCAATTTCTAAACAGAATATTTCTTAAACCTCAGACTCTCAAGCCTTATGATTGGACCATAAATAAAACATCACTACAATATCTGTGGTATAATCTTGTTAGGTTGTACCTTTGGAATCCTTCCCCTCCCGATTCATAACTGCAACAAATTAATTATTGTTAAAACATAGGATAGGAACATTTTGAGAGAGTTGGATTGCTTACATTCTGCAATTCCACTGCAAGTTCCTTCCTGTGTCAATTTGTCACCAACATTTTCAAAACCAGATTCTATGCATTAGGCATCTATACCCATATTTTAGCACTTAAATAAATGAACTAACATTGATATGCTGGGCACCTACAACTTCTTTGTAATAAAGAAAACACCAGATTCAATTTCCAGTGCAATATTGATGATAAAGCAAATATTCTGGATGCATAGTAGGGCTGTGCGAAGCTTCAGTCCCTGATTCGATTTGGTGGAGATTCGGTGGCCGAATCTCCAAATTTGAATCAAAGCAGGAGACCCTTTAATCTCTCCAAATCGAATCAGAACCCTCCAAATTGATTTGGAGAGATTCAGAAAGATTTGGACATAGATATAGTTTTAAATGCTTTTTTCTACATACCTCAAGGTAGCAGCTCATGAACACTGTGATGCTGGGGTGCATGGAGTGTCCCACAGGAGCATGGGGGACTCCCCAGCGCGCTTGGCAGCAGACCTGGAAGTTGACCAGAAGCACTTCTGGTCCACTTCTGGATCCGCTGGGGAGTGTGCAGGGCCCACCCCCCCCACACTCTCCCAGCTCAGCAACTGGTGGCTCCTGGGTCTGGGGGGCACCCAGGGTCCCCCCACAGCTGATCACTGAGCCGGGGGAGAGCACTCCCTGGTGGACCCGGAAGTGGACCAGAAATACTTCTGGTCCACTTCTGGGTTTGCCGCCAAGCATGCAGGGGGGGCCCCAAGCTCCTGTGGGACACTCCATCTACCCCACCATCACAACATTCATGAGCCGCACCTGGTACCTTGAGGTATGTAGAAAAAACATTTAAAAATGTGTCTATGGCTGAATCGCTGTTCTCCGAATCAGCATCAAATCTTCAGATTCGGATTCGGCCAAATCAAATCAGGGACAGTGATTTGAATCAATGAATCGAATCACTGTCCCCGATTCGGGCCAAATTCAAATCCAAATTGAATATGGCCCGTTTCCCACACCCCTAATGCACAGCTCTAACCAGAATCTTTCTTAGGCAACAATAAAACACAGAGAAAGCCTTGTAAAGATCACAGGTTAGTAGAGCACTACAGGGTATACTTAACTTCTGTAGTGCTAAGTTTACAGATAAGAGACACAACTTGCAAATGCTTATGCATTACAGTAGGCAGACAAGGTCCTTTGGGTAAATGTGGTAACTTGTATTAGACCAACTAAATATTTGGAAAAATTCTTCTTTGCAAGCTTTTGGGAACAAACATTCTTCTTCAGGCTACAACCAACACCCCTGTATGCATTACAGTAGCACTCAAGGGAGATGCTTTACTGATTTCAGACATGGGTAAAAGGAGGTAGGAATAGCCTCATAAGAGAAAAATAGGTAATTTAATTGGATTACATCATTACACTATTGTAAACGTAATTACTTAAAATTCCCTTGGAAAATCTTTCTGGGCTAGGTATTTGATTCATTTGCTCATTCACCCCTGTGGAGCAGGCTAGTGTAAGTTTTAAGTATCAGCACCCATTTAGGTGATGTATTGGTATGCCAATAGTCTTCTGCAATTAAATAAATGTCACCGTGAGTGCATATTAATAATATCAAATAAACATGTCTGATGGTAACATCTGTAGCAACACATCTGTTTCATACTATGTAGTCATGAGGTTAATGGGGAGTTTCTTCCGAGTGAAGCTGACTAAAAAACATACATAAACTGCTGGAAGAGAAAAATCCTAGAAAGCATCCTCATTCCATTTGTTGGTTGATGCTTTCTAGGTTTTATAAAAGAAAGATATATTTTATTTCTTCTGTTGGATGCACTCTCTCACTCCCTATCTTTTTTTTTTAACATTCCAAAATCTGTCATTTCAAAAAAGTATTCCAATTCTGAAAAAACAGATATGGCTGATGAACCAAAATTTGAAAACATGCTTATGCATGACCATTTTACAGTGAAAAATGGGACCTTTGGGGTGACAGGGCTCCACAACAGATGACACACAAAAAACAAAAACTGACAAATGATTACCTGTGTTGAAATAAAAGCTCATTAAATTAGAAGTTTGCTCAAAAATTTTTAGAAGCAACTTTTTAAAAAAGCTAATAGCATTATGCAAAAAAATCATATCAAACAAACAGTTCATGAAGTCAACATTTTACTTTTGAAAATGTTCATCAGGTCTAGTTCATAAAGCCTGAAGCATCTGTTCAAGCAGACTTGGAGGCAGATTGACAGCTTAATTCTTAAATATGGAAGAACCATGAGCTGTAAAAGAACATTTTAATCTTGCATTTGAATGTCATTGCCATAACTTGTATGCAGAAGGGAACAACAATTCTCAACCTTTTTTAGACACAAGGCACCTCTTGGAAAATGCCAGCTCTTAGCTTTCGCTTGTGTTTTGACTATGGGAAAATAACAGCAATTGTTCTATTGCAAAGAACTTAGAAAGACCAAAACAGGTCAGAATATATTCAACACTATTTGAAGTCTCTGGATTTATCTTGTGCTTCGTGCTGAGATGTTTGCACACCCAACAGTGTTAGTATTGTGCAGCACTCTCCAGCACCATTAAAAGGATATCACAGCACCCTCACTGAAAATCAAGGCGCAGACGCACACAAAGTAGAATGGGCGTAAATGTTGGCAGGGGAGCAAGCATGTAGAACTATATTTCAGCACTGAAAACTTCATTTTAAACTTCAGTTCAACAGAACTACTGCTGTGATTTAAAAGTTAAGCATATGCTTAGTGCCCTGCTGAATTGGATTCAAATATCTGGATTGTGTGCGCACAAGTATCAATTTCAAAACTGAAACATAAAATTAGGCAATTACTTTGCAGAGAATTACTGTGGTCACTCTATTTGACAACTGGGACTAAAGATATCTAGAAACATCAGGAAAAGTGCACCAAACATCTTTTTAAACATTTGTAATAACATTTTAAAGCATTACCAGCATCTTTAAAATTGTTCTTTCACTGCTCAATTTCAAGTAAGGTTAGATCTTTCAGTGCAAAGAAAGCAGATGAAGTAATAGCTCAATGTTGTTTTCTACAGCACGTCCATGTAAAACTCTCAAAGCGTTTTATAAAGGTTAATGACTAAACCTCACATTTTACTGCTGTGTAGTAAGTAGTATTGTCTCCACCTCACAGAATAGAAAATTGAATCACAGGGTATAAATAATTTGTCCAAGGTCACAAAATTCAGTGGCAGAATGGAACTAGAACCAGAACCACAACCAGAAGTACGATTTGACTGAATGACCATGCCTTCTGATTATATCAACTTCACCTTATAGCTAGAAAGGGAAAAACAGCAGTGCTCCTCAATAATGAGGAGAATTATGCACTGACCCATGGGACTAGAAGAAAAATGAGACAGTAGTTCTCTTCGACTATGGAGTTTTTACAGTCCAGAGGGTCAGGCAACAAGATTGGAATATTATGCCATGTGGGTCTGTTACTGAATTAGACTTCCCTTCTCAGCAGGAGCTGCCATCTAGTATAGGATCATATTAATTCTGGCAATAGGTCTCAGATAGGGCTGAGAATGGAAGCAAATACCACCTGTGCTATTTATGGTATATTCCTTACAGTATATTTCAGTTTTAATGATAAAAATATAACATTATATGGTAATATTACCCAGAAAGACACATTATAAATTGTTATGACTCACATTTGCTAGAGAGGGAATAAAAGTAGTCATTCAAATCAGTCTAAAATTGAGCAGGAAAAACATTTAATGACTGTTTGAATTAATACATACAATCTGGACTGGTTTCAAACTCAAACTTGCGGCTATTGGTCCCATATCCAGCTGCTGTTCGGGCTCGGATTTGGAATACGTATGTGGTGTCGGGTTTGAGGCTACTGATGGTAACATTGGTTCCTTTTGCTCTCAGAATAGTATAGCTCGTCTCTTGCTCCTGCTTTGGGGGAAGAAATTACCACATTAAAACCCAACACACTCCAAATCAATTACAGAGACTCAATATTTAGCACAAAATTAGCTGCATGACATTGTCAGTTTTTTCTGAATAATAACAATTATGAACCAATTAAACTTTGTGCAGCCATTCAATTTAAATCATCATGAGTCTGTAGATTAATAAGAGTCTCAGATCATTAGTGGTTCTTTTGCCTGGTATCATATATTCTATTTATGACATTTTATTTAATGTTTTTGTATCACTTTGTCCTTAACCTGTAATACTACAAGAAAACAATTATTAAAGTGTTATCTGAAAACCATAAAGCCTAGACTCACCAATTGCACCAAACTGGAAGCTGTTACAGGATAATTTAGAACATTTTAGTGCTTTGCAGACCTATTGCTATGGCTCAGCTTTTACTGCAACATGTTTTACAAATCAGTCTGTTCCTTTATAGCAATTAGAGCAGAATATTCAGACTCTTTACTTTGGTTTTATAGAGAGTTTAATAGAACTATACTGCAGTTAAATTATGAGCCCAAGCCCACTCAACCAAAATTCCACTAAACTCAACAGAAGCTTTGCCTGGATGAGGACTCGGAATCAAAGGAGCAAGGTATGTATGCTTTTTATCCCTGATAGTCAAAGAACAATATATATATATATCCATTATATCCACACCTCATACATTAGAACACAAAATGTGCTGCAGTACATCTATATTTCTCATAGAAAGTTTCATATGTGAGCAAAGAAACACCCACGGCTTCAGTAACTTAGTAAGAATGACATTTCATATATTGCAAAAGTTAATTATGCTAAGAAAATGACGCATAACTTGATAGTCCAGTGCTTTAAACACTTGTTTGTAGCTTGAGGTGTTTTGTGCAGTATGTATTATTAAAGCCAGCCTGTGCTGTTTTTGGCTTCCTTAAAATGGCAGCTCAGGAAAAACTCTGGATAACAGCTATATACTGTATTAACTCAATATCACATGTACTTTCCCCTCCTAAATCAGCCCTCTAAAATTGGAGTGTGTGTCTTAAACAGGGAAGCTGATTTTTCTTCACTGGAACAGAAGTATGGAGGAACAGAAGCAGGGAAACATTTACTGGGGCGGGATGTAAGCAAGGAAATACAGGTATGTGGAGAGCCGTGAGGAATTTAACTACTCTGGTTCACAGGGATGTATGTGAACATTTTTTTCTCTTCAAAAGCTACTTCATTGGCTTGAACACGTAAACTGAATATAAAATGTTACTGACTTGACTGAGTTTGCCTGGCTTTGGGAAGATGCTGAACTGAACTTGGCGTGTATTGAGAGCAAGCGCTCTCACCTAGCTTTGTATTATATTTGGTGCGTCTACACGAGATGCTGACTGTGCAGTAGCCTGATACTACTGAGCAGCAGTGTCATGTGGCAAAACCCATGATGTGACGCTACTGCACAATAGTATTAAGCTACTGTGCAGCAGTGTCACAAAAAAGGTGTTTGGTGGTGCTACTGTGCAGTAACTCAGGTTACTGTGTATTTATTTAGTATTTGTTTATACAAGTACTAAAGAAATGCTCAGTAACCAATGCGCAGTAGTGTCTTGTGTAGATACGGCCACTGTGATGTTTCAGAATTTTAACCTAAACTTGGGAGGCTCTGTGTTTATAGTCTGGATGTACCAAGAGTACTGAGGCATGAATCCTGAGTTTGGAAAGTAGACTGTATACTTTCACACCCCAAAACTTGCTACTTATCTTACCCACATAAGGAATTCAACCACTGTGGGCTATTTAATAGTAAAGACAGATGAACACCTTATACCAGGGGTGGGCAAAATATGGCCTGTGGGCTAGATGTGGCCCACCAGGCCATTCTATCTGGTCTGTGAGGCCCCTAAAAAATTTAGAAATTAATATTTATCTGCTCCTGGCTGCCTGTCATGCGGCCCTCAATGGCTTGCCAAAACTCAGTAAGTGTCCCTCTGCCCAAAATAATTGCCCACCCCTGCATTATACTGAGCTAAAAGAATGGAGGGGAGGTATGTGTGTGGGGGTCTTACTGTCCATTAGCTGAGTCCCTGAAACTCTTTGAGGTCTCTGGTAAATGGAAGCTAAACTAGGCAGTTTTCCCCTAAAGGAAACTGCAGATCAAGTATCATGTTTTATCTTCCACTTACAGCAGGATAGGAGTGGAGTAGGCAAAAAAAATAAAATAATAATTACCACAAATTATCTGACGTACAATACAATCCTTCCCCAACCCTTTCACAGAGTGTAATGTGTATGTGTGCCCGTACACTTGCTATGTATGCATTGTGGTCTATGGCACAGTATGGAGAAACTGGAATGAACATTAATGTAGCTAACTCAATTAAGAAAAGACAACAAAGGAAGGAAAAGAAAAGAGCACTAGCGGCAACAATGCTAAGCTCAGCACTGGCTCATTTACCTTATGTTTGAAAGGGTAAATTAGGCCCTCACTGAGCTTTGTCCTACTCTGACTAGACTACTTTAGATCCCTGAGCTAGCTAGTCTGAAGTAGTTCAGATATCTTTATATCAGTCTGCAGCTTCCAGTATGGAAACACCCAAAAGAGACTTGAATCCCAGTTCATGAATGTACTGATGTATGTGTATAATGTATAAGCATATGAGTATTCCCACTGGACATGTCTACACATGCATTAATATGCTTTTCATAATGCACATTAAATTTAATACCTCCAATGCGAAGGCATGTATACATATGTCCAGGAGTGGGGGTGATGAAGAACTTTGATGGAGTAGCCTCGCTGCACATGTATTAGCTTTGGGATACTAAATAAATGTGCATTAGGCTGCCCTAAAGTGCAGTAGCTTATTTTACTGTGCATTAGGGTATTAGCATGCTTTTTTATACAATGCTTTAATGCACAGTAAAATAGGATACTGCACGTTAAAGCTCGTGTCCAGACGAGCCCACACATGTTTCTTGAAGCATCTCAAACACCTTTGAGACAGCCATTGCGGGGGCCTGGGGGAGCGGAGGTGGGGGTTGGGTGAGACAGCCATTGGGGGGGCTACAGGAGCCAGCAAGGGATGGGGCCAGGCGGAGCAGCAATCGGGAGGCGGGGCTGGGGGAGCAAGCGGGGTTGAGGCGGTGCATGTGGGCCCTGGAGGAAGGCCATAGCCCCTGTTGCGGGGCTGTGGCCCCTGAGGGGGAGGGAAGTAGCCCCTGTGAGGGGGGCATGGCCCCTGTTGGGGGGCTCTAACCCCTGTGGGGGGGCAGCAAAATATATATTCATGTATTCATGAAATGTGTATTTAGAGTTCACTTTAATATTATGATAGCAACACTGGTAGTTTTTCCAAATTGCTTTAACACTGTAGATATATCAATAAAACATCGCGCATCTGATCGCTGTCTCTCTTTATAGAGGTCTTTTGTTTCAATTGTGGAGGAACATGGATTTTGGAGTATTTTACAGAGTGACTCTGGGATTTTTTTAATCAGGGATTTTTCAGTTTTCCAATAGGAACACCAGAGTTCCTGCTAGGGAGGCCAGTGGTGGGACCCCGCCTGCTCAGAGCTGGCACCTTGGACCCAGCTGGCTGTGACTGACCTCATGGCCAATTGGGGCCAGGAGGACATGCTTTGACAGTTCAAAGCAGGCCATCAAACCCAGAACATCTTCTGGGCAATAGCTGCCCACATGGCCAGGCAGGGGGCACACATGGCAGTAGTGCCGCACAAAGGCGAACTCTGCAGCAACAGCCCACTGGCAGCTGACCCAGAGGGGCAGATGTCCCATCCGGGTCTGACAGGTGCACAGCAGGTCACTGCCAGGCAGCAGCCCATACTGCCAGACTGCTGCAGTGGGTAAAGGGTGCAGGGAACTCTCCGGTCTGCTTGAGCAGTCCAGCTGGCACAAGGGGTAGTGTCCCCAGGTACCAATTGGCCGGGCCCCAGAAGCTCCTGAGAGTGAGTAGCCTTGAGCTTCTTGCCAAGGCAGCTTTTTGTACTGATGGGGCGAGGACAGGGCAGGTTTTAGCTCTAGCTTCCCCTGGCTGCAGATCCAGGAGGAGCCAGGCAGGGCTATTTTGCTCCAAGTGGCACAATTTGCTCCACAACAAAGTGCATGTCCAAGCACATGCACTGACATGCCCTGGCTCAAATTTGCACTGCTTCTATGTGAGCTGCTGCAAGTGCACATGCTTGCATGTGTGGATGCACTCACTGATGCTAAAAAGACAACATTTAAGTGACTTTTATAAATGAATCCCTAAATAGGACTTCTTTATGAGAGTAAGATGGACTGGACCAATTCAACAAAGAGTGGTTACCCCTACAAAACCTCTATCATGTTCCATTCACTTTCAGAAATTCATTTTATTCTCCATTTTTTTACCCCTTTATATAAAAAGGGGTATGTTTAAACATGCAAGCAAAAAAATATACAAGACAGTCTGAAAAATTAATGAGTTGACTTAAATGTATAACTTTTCACTTTAATAAACCTAGATTTATTTCTTAATTCAATTTAACTAGATTTAACCTAAATTTACTTCTTAACCGCCCTTCCCCACCCCCCAAATTTAAGTAAATGCTTTGATTTCTAAGCCATAACATTTTTTGCTTTTAAAAATGTAATTTTTTTTGTGTATGATTTAGGCTGAATATTCAGTTTAATCTGACTTCAGGTTCCCTTCAGACAGTACAAATATTTCCTTCTTAGCGGATGTATGTGACAGACAGAATGTGGTGTTGGCTATATCAGTTAATAATATGCAATGCCACTCTGAAAATAAACGTTTAAAATCATGGTATGGAGGATATCAAAGTATCTTAGTTTATGGTAAGCTTTGTAAGACACATGTTTTGTAAGTCATTTTTTATGTGAATAGTAATCAAATCAGCTTGACACCACATAAAAGCCTTAGTTTATCTTTCCTGGGGACAAGGGAGAACTTCAGAGATATGGCATACTAGTCACCATAAGCAAAAGGAATATACAAAAAGAAGAG